AGTGATGTAAAATACTAAAAGCAGGAACATGTCTGTTGGTTTATGCCGTGAACTTACCAGATGTTTAAAGTCATTTAACATTTTATTTTATTTTATTCATTTATTCATTCATTTAAAAGAGACAAAATAAACAAAACAAATTCATCACAAACAAAACATTGAATGAAAAGAGTGCAGAAAGAAGAAAATTCTTATATCTTCCCCTTATTTAAAAAAAATATATAAAATTACTTTAAACAAACAATCACTTAAATTAATCACTTTGATATCCACTTTAAAGCTAGGAATAAAAAGAAACATGTTTTGTGTTAGCAGAATTTAATTCTAACTTTTAAACTCATCCAACATTAATAAAACTTACCTCAAGTTGCCTTTTTGGACATGCATGCATATATTTGTTTAAATTGTACTTGAGAGGAGATTATTACAGCTTCATATAAAATCAATGATGATCATGATATCGAAACGGTATCGGTATCGGCCGATATACAGATTTAGGTATCGGGATCGCATCGGAAGTAAAAAAAAATGTGAATCGGTGCATCCCTAATAGATACAGTAGTCCAAGTTCAGTTCAAGTTCAGTAAAATTTGTCATGACATGAGCCAGGCTGTACTCATCACCTGTTACTCCCAATCTCCCTCCTTAAATAAACAATTTAAATTTAAATACTGCAACATTTTCAATAAACAATCCATGCAGCATGGATTGTTTATTGAAAATGTTACAGTATTTAAATTTAAATTGTAGAGAAGAGAAGTGCAGCAGGACATCAGAGGGATGTCACGCAGCTTCAGCTCTGCAGCACGGAGCAGAAATGTACTTCTTGATCAGTTGCACTGTAACAGCTGAACATTGAAGTTCTAAAATAATTCAAAATAACTTTTAACACATATTTTGTGATTATGACAATTTTACGATGTGACATCATTTGAATTTTAAGTTGGAAGACAAAGGTCGATGGGTGCATCTGGATAGCAAAGGGTTAACCCTTCACAAAGCCGATGGCAGAGAAGATCAGCTGATCAGCTGCAGGAGGGAGCTTCCCCTTCACTTGTGGGCTGCACACACGGTGCAATATCATTTAAGATAATTTATTTTAAATAAACGATCCATGGCTCATCCATCCATCAGCCGATTGTCATGTCCAATCTTACTTTGAAAATCTGTGGCGAGGGACGTTGTTCTTCTTTCTTATCATTAAGATTGTTTTAATTTTAGTGATTTCTGTAAGCACCCCACCCAACTTACAGCTTATTTGTAGGTTTATGTTTGTTTTTACAAAAACATTTTTCATGGGCAAAAGCTCCAAAGTAAGATTTTAAGAGTCGAAAAGGGAACTTGTTATTCCTGAATACATATGTAGTGAACTTGACCTGATGTCAAATCTTGACCTTAGGATCATATGGTCAGAAACGGTCATTTCATTGATTTTCATCCAGAAATACAGGTTGATCGATCCTGAGACTTTCTTTCTTGAATTAATCAAGTGGAAGAGACAATTCTCTATGATCATTACTATTTTACAAATGTTTTGATAATCAAATTGTGTTAGTTCAAACAATGTTTACATGTTGAAGTGAACTAATCATTTTTATCTACTTAAACAGTAGTAATGATTTTTAATCCTCAATTCAAAGTGAAATCAAGTTAGAGTACGTTACAGAGTAATGATTCAATTTCTTGATCGTCTGCTTTGAAGTGAGCAAAGTTGTAAGTGTGTCAAAGTTCGAGCTTCGGTCAACTGAAAAGTTTACTGAAAAGAAATGTCATGTTTAACTTTTACAGCAAGATACTTGGTGAGAGGCGCCACTAAGTCTGGTTTTCTCCAACAATCTTTCTGTCTGTTCTTAAACAATCTGAATCTTTTCCTTGACTTTTAATAACACCTTACATCACAAGCCACACCTCTGCCTTGGTCCATCGACCAATCAAAAAGCTCTCAAATGAACCGGAAGTGACCCTTCTTAAAAGGTTGGCACTTCCTAGTTCAAAGAGTAGAGTTCTGTAGAAGAGTTCTGGATAGAGTTCAGCTCAGAAGAGTTCAGCTCAGTCTTGAAGCTGCTGTAAGCTCAGTCTTGAAGATGGAGCAGCAGTTCAAGCGAGAGTTTTTGGAATTCAGATGCAGAGAGTTTGGGAGTTCCTGAATGCAGAACGTGGGCATTCAGGATGCTGCTAAACCAATCAAGCTGAACCAGAGACGATTTTGGGAATTATAACTTCTGTTTGGATAACCTCACACGACTCCCAAGGTTTTTAGCTGTTCTCACGGAGACGCTGAAAAGAGTCAAAAGAAGAGCTCTACACCGACGCTGAAGCTATCGTCTGCAAGGTAAAAGTTCTATTTCGACCAAGCGTACCGTTGGCCCAAGCTGATTTCAATGGAGCGTGCTGTTCTGGTTAAAACAGACAAATTCCCTCACACATCTCTCTCAGATAAACTTCATCTTTCCATCTTTAACTCTCCTATCTGCTAGAAAATTAATCCAGATGTTTTCAGAAACGTCTGTGGTGTAGCAACGGAAAATCATGGCCGTATGGTTTTCCTGGTTGTAAAGCTGATTAATTATGTTGTTGTTTTCATATTCTGCCAAATTAATGTAAATGTGTGACGTGTTAAACTCGATTCTGTTAATAAATGACCCACTCGCTTAGTGAGTCAAAGATAATTAACGTCTCACGTCCACATTTTTATTACCTTCAACGCACGTATGTTACACAGTCCAGAAAAATGAAGAACTCGTTTAATGTATGAATATATCTCAGGATATGTCATACTACACATACAAGGAAGAATATATTTTTTTTAGAGGAAGGGGTCTTTAAACATTTTCCTTGTTAGTGTTTGCATCTTGATTCAGTCTGTGACAGAGAGTTATATTTTAGGCCCTGACTGACCGGCAGTAGTGTCTCTTATCCTCTGTTCAGTATTCAGGAGCAGAACCCAGCCACCCCCCTCCCTCCCACCGTCCTTCCCTGCCTATTTACCCATCAGCCACCCATCGTGAGCAGGCGTGTATGTGTATGTATATCACAATTATCGTGCCCCAGAGCCCCCCGCCCTGACGTCCCTGTTCTCCTGCCCCCCTGCTGCCCAGCATGCCCCCAATCCTGACATGGCACGATTTCTAATCCCTACCCCCCACCCCCTTCTTGCCTCCTGGGTCTGAGTGGAGCAGGATCACTGCCTCAGCTCCTCCCTCTTACCCCCTCGCTTACCAACCACCACCCTGCGACCTCCCCCCACCGCTGACCCCATCATGTTAGGAGTATTTCATGCTTTGTATGTGTTTATCTCCATCAGCTGGACGGAGCACCTTACATCACCATTCTGATGATTTTTAGTCACGTTCCACTCTACATTGTTGGAGGTATCTTGGTGTTAACATTTTGCTCTGAGGTTATGCACACCAGTACCGTTTTAGCCACTCTCTAAATATTTCAATTTACACTTTAAGAATAGAAATATTTGCACATGATGCGTTTCTTTCTGCTGAATGTTTTGGCAGACTGAGGAACCTGTGATTTTGGCAGGAAAACAAATTAAAATGTGTCGATGTGCTGGTCCTACAATCTGTTTTATCCACAGAAGGTCAGGGTCGGGCATTAATACGAGGCAGAAGATGGCAATTGTGAGTCTGAGGTGCCTGCACCTACTCTGTCAGGCCTGGGGTGTGGTTGCATAAAACTATCCACTTGCACCAGTTTGACTGGAGTGAGGGATTGTGGGTATTT